TATATATATATATCGATCATAATTAATGAACCATGGTAATTGTCCAAAAACATCTCAATTATTTTCTAATATAAGGATTTGTATAGTTTATTAGAATTACATGATTTATATTTGAAACTATATATATATAGATATAGATATAGATATAGATATAGATATAGATATATATATATATAGATATATATAGATATATATATATATATAGATATATATATATATATATATATAGGGGTGGTTTCAAATAAAAACCATTTAATTTGTAAAAACCGTGAAAATCTCATTCAACCAATCATAATTTTTCATTTTGTTCATTTTTTTGTAATTATGAGAGATTGATTAACCATTTTTATTGTGGAGAGTGTCAATAATGGATATTATCATCTTCATTATTTTAATTTTAGAGAAATACATAAAACAGTTTCATTAAAATTTCATTAAGTAGTATATGAAACAATTTCATAACCACATACGAAACAACTTCATCAAAAAAAGTATTATATGAAACAATTTCACAAGATTAACAATTTTCATGAAAAAATTTCATAAGATTAACGATAGATGATAGTAGTTTTTACGGTTTTTACAAATTAGAGTGGTTTTCATTTGATCGTTCATATATATATATATATATATATATATATTTATGTATCACATGTTCATGTTAATAAATTCATCTCTCGTGAGAGATTGCAATAATTCAAACTAAAAGACAAATGTCTTAGGATTCTTAATGTAAAAATATAGAGTTAAATACAAATTTGGTCCACATGGTTTACACAAATTAATGAGTAAGGGGCCGTTTACTAAACACTTACTTGATAAATGTTTACTGGATAAATTTTCTTATCGGATGAACATGAGAAGGGCCAAGAATCTTACCAAGTAAGAGCAATGCGAAGGACGAAGAGTCTTATCCGGTAAATGAAGATGACGACTCTTACCCAAGTAAGCGCTTACCCAGTAAATTGTTGCATTCGATATGTTTTGTTATACTAAAATCTTATGCATCAAAATAAAATATAGTGTTGACTCCTATCGGTAAGCGCTTACTGAGTAAGCAATTGGGTAAACGGCCCCTAAGATCCCTTGAAAAAATTACTAATGGGGGGTGTCTTTATAGTTTTATTTTTATTGTGGATATGGTCTCTCTTATAACTATTTCAGTTAAGTTTTTGTTAATGAGGGGTAAACTTGTTTATTCACCTTCTTGCTCTCTCAACTTTCATTTTAAGTAATGGATTTAGTCCTTCAAACTGCTTTTCATTTTATAACATATTTGGTCCCTCAAACTAATTTTCATTATTATAACAAATTTGGTCCCTCAAACTATTTTTATTTTTTATGAGAAATTTGGTCTTCCCCTCAACTTTCATTTTTATGATTGATCTCTCCGTTTAATCAATAAAATTTGATGATACAAACATATATTTTGAAACTTAGATTTTGCAATTAAATATTTTACCTTTTTAATAACATTACTTCCATGAAACCTTCAGTTCAAATAACTTTCAATTCTGATAAAAAAAAATTGGTTGAAAATTAAAATAAAAAAGTTTTCAATCTAAATACCGGACAATATATTATATATAAGAATAAAAGTATTAAATTTAAGCATTTTACTAAAACTAATTAATATACAAAACTAATATGATAGTTAAATTAGATATAAAAATATAAATTTAACTA